GTGTGTGTGTGTGTGTGTGTGTGTGTGTGTGTGTGTGTGTATTCTTCTTGGCAGGGTGCATCCTTCTCCCGGGGGTGGGGGCTCTGAAGGCTCAGTGTGTGGTATCTTCTCAGGGTGCTGGGCGGAGGGCTGGACAATGGCTCTTCTGCTCTGTGAGTTCAGACCAGGCCCCCAGAGCACATTGCTTGGGCCTCCATGGACCAGTCTTCTCTGATAGCCTCAGACCTAGCCTTGCCCCAGAGCCCCTCATGTAGAAGCTGCATTTTTGTTCCTAGAATGCCTGCTTTTCTCTGACAATTGAGGCTTTGCTATTGGGTCATCTCACTGAGTCTCCTCTAGGTTCTTAGGCACAGTTTCTTAACTTTGGGGGGTGGGGTGCTCTTAGAACCTTTCCAAAGGTGATGAAAGCCTGGAAGCATCTATCAGAAGCTGCATGCACACATGCAGCATTTCCCAGACAAGCTCAAAGTCCTGGAACCTGGAGGCTGATGCCTGGGCCTCCAGGCAAGAATCCAGCCTAAGGAGGAGTTTTCTCACCAGAACTTTCTGCCTTTGGCACCAGAGTGCCACCCAGAATGCAGACACGCCCACTGTGGCCCCATGTCCATAGTAGGAGTGGCCTGGCTCGAGCCGCAGTGGCCACAACATGCACGCCAGTTTTCAAACCCCTTGTTCCACAGATGCTGGAGACAAATGAGCATGTGAAAAAAGTTCTTCCTGCTGGAGCCAGCTCCTCAGAGCCTCTTGTAAAGGTGAGCCCAGCTCTGCCCAGAAGGGATTCCTGCCAAGCCCGATAGCTCAGGACCAAGCACTTGGGGGTGGACAGCCCAAACATGTGCATGGGGGTTTTCATGCCACTTGAATTTTAAAGACAAATCACACATAACATTAATTTTTTTTATTTTTCTGCCTATTGTTTTTGTTTGTTGTGAAGAAGTTAATTATCAAGTAAACTTTATTTAAAGCCCCCTTGCCTCAGCTCCCAAACCTCAGCTCCTGGATGTTGGGATGGTATCTGCTGTAAGAAATGATCTCAACATAACAGAAACATAGCCTCTCACTGTTCTGGAGGCCAGATGTCCAAAATCAGCATGTCAGCAGAGCCACACTCCCTCTGAAGGCTCTAGAATCCTTCCTTGCCTCTTCCAGCTTCTGGTGGCTTCAGATAGCCCATGGCTGTGGCAGCGTCACTCCATTCTGTGCCACCATCTTCGCATGCCTTCCCCATCTCCCTGTGTGGTTCTTATAAGACCATTTGTCATTGGATTTAGGGACCGGACTACCTGGTGAATCCAGGGTGATCTCATCTAAAGATCCTTAATTACAGCTGCAAAGACCTTTTTCTATCTCTCCTTCTTCCTCTTTCTTTTTCTTTCTTTCTTTCTTTCTTTCTTTCTTTCTTTCTTTCTTTCTTTCTTTCTTTCTTTCTTTCTTTCTTTCTTTCTTTCTTTAAATCAGCTCACAATCACAGGTTCCATGGATTAGGATGTGGACATACCCTTTTGGGGGCCACCACTCAACCCACTACTGTATTGCTCATTTATATCCCCAGCATCTGAAAGTGCCCGGCACGCAGTCAGAGTTCAGCAGGTGTCACACATTTGGTCTGATGGTCTGGAATTTAGCCTTGCACCCAGGTGCTCTGTCTGCTCAATTCTGAATAAAGGTGTTTGGAATATGCCCAGTGTTTTCCTGGACTATGAAAATAGCTGCCAGACTAATTAGAGGAAATCATTTCTTGCTTTCCCTTAGGAATTTCTGTTAGGATATTTTATGCCATTGTTTCAGTTTAACACATTTTAAGCAGGCAGGAGTTATCTAGGAATACAGCAAGTGTGTTTAAAGGCCTTTTTTCTCCCCTGAATTGGGGTCTTCTCAAACACGCAGACTTTGAAGATAAGCTGGATTTTATTTCTGAGATAACCTTTTGTGTATATATTTTATAATATTTACTAGGATAAAAGCTATGCATTTATAAGAGTGCAACTATGTATTTATGTAGAGTTCATCTTGTTTCTGTCATGATGCATTTCATTGACACCGAACATTGACTTCCAAGTGTTCACTTAGATGACACATGTATGTAGGAAGTGACATGCTTTTTCTTTCTTTAAAATACAGCTGGTGTGACGCTCCTGACGGGGTAAGTGAGCAGAGATTTCCCATCCTCTGGAGCGCAGCTTTTGTATTAGAATGCACCGTGAAGTCTCTCCAGCCTCACTATCTGTATTGCTTCTCTCTGACAAGGTTAAAAGAGGCAATGAAAAGTCTGGTTTTTCCAGTAGGAGCTTTTGCAGACCCCTCCCCCTGTGTTTGTAATTCACACAGTACATACCTTGCAATTTCATGCAAGTAGTCATACTTTATTTATGAAATGCTTGTAATCTGGAATCCAAAATTAGGGAAGGCCCACATTCTTCATTCCCAATTCATCGTGCAGATCGGTTCAAGTTGCTTTATTCTCATTGTTTTCATTCCACGTTCTTTGAAATATCAGGCTTTGGGAGGGGGACAGCATGGGTGGGGAGCTTTATTAATCGTTTTTATCATCACTTATCCATTTTCCAATGAACAAGCCACAGAAGACTCAGAGGAGAGCCAGGGAAAAAGTAGGCTCCCTCTCTGCAATGTTCAAAACCTACCACGTGCTTCAGGAAACGCCAGAAACATGCACACTGGACGCCCAGCAAACAGCCAGTTTACAGGGGCACATGCATGGCGAGTCTTGAAGTTTCGGATGTATTAACAGCAGGCCTTTCAACTTTGTATAGTAATAAAACCCAGCAGCAGCACAGCATCTGTCAACTAAATAAGACCTCACTGGAGAGCCTGCCTATCACCCCTGAGGGAGGCCTGTAGACAGATTCCACGTTCAAGTTGAAAGGACAGATAGAACCTCATCCTCCTCATGCTCTGTTCTGAGGACACTTTGTAATTTTTTTCCTTTCCTGGAAGTATTTTAGCCCATATGCAGATAGACTGGCTCCTCTGTACAAACTGATCTACCACTGAGCTAGTGAGTCTCCTTGTTTCAAAGTGCTTTGTGTTTGATTTTTAAACTCCCTGACAAATCTATGGTTTTAATTAACTCCTTTGAATTCAGTTGTTTTCAACTCAAAAGTGCTCTTGGATAAAAATTTGCATTATCAGCTTGTGTCAGTGTGTGGTTTAAACCTGTGGTGAACTTTTTCCTTGCCGTAACTGGCTGCAGAAAGATGGGACATTATTATTACTTTTTTAGTCAAAGGGCTGGTTTTTCCTGCATATCTTTGTGATAGATACTGGCTGGGATGACTCTGCATGAAATTGGGCCCAGACCAGACAAGATTGGTGAACAACAGACTCTGGCTTTGGAAACTAACTGTGGTTGCATACGGGCACCAGCGCCTGGGACCCCATCTCCTTCACCATGCTTAGCTAGCCTTGCGATACAGGCTGAAACACCTTCAATACCTGAGTGTCGGGCCCTACCCATTAGCTCCTTCAATCTGCCACATACAGGATGTCCATATAATTTACTGTCCATGTGAGGACCACCTGGATGGAATGTCAGGACATCCCGCAAACAGGCACGTAGGTCCCCCCAGACAGATGGAACTCTCTGCCCCCCAGGCCATCACCAAAGGCTTTTGAAGGCCCCACCTGTGCTGGAATGTTGCTAAACATCACCCGCTGATCATTCTCATAAATCTGGTCATCTTTTCTTCCTAGAATCATCCAGGTTTTCCATCCCTGGTCCATCCAATCTCAGGAACTCACCATTTCCGGACCCCATGACCCTTTCACTACAAATTCCCTTCCCATCTTACAATGCTCTCACCTGTCTTTCCCACTTCCATCCACGAAGACCCTAATGATCGTTCAAGACCTAACTCAACGGGCTTCTTCCATGAAGGAAGAGCAGGTGGGGGACCTTTCTGTCACCTGCCCTCCCACAGAGCTCTACTTGTGTCCTCCTTGGGCAGTTGCCCCTTTCTGTTTTCTTACACTTTTATGTGTAGTACCATGTTCACTGCTGAACCTGAGAGAAGGGACTCTGAAATACTCACTGGATGTGAGCTCCTCATTTTATCTACCTCTCACTCCTTATTTGAATTCTGGTCTTTTGAGCATATTATTTCCTAAAGTGTGATAAGAAATAAGCATACGGGAAGATTGAAAGCCTTGCCATATTTGGCATTTGCAAGGAACAGACCCACACTCTTGATGAATTTGAAAGCTGGCATCTCCACTTAAGGGCTGTGCAATCTTGTGCAAGCTACTTAACCTTTCTGTGCCTATAAAAGAAGGAAAATCATAGTCCCTACTTCTTAGGGTTGTTAGGAAGACTGCATCCTCACAAAACAGAGCATGGCCATGTTAAATATCAATATTTTAGTTTTTATTATGTTTTGGCTGCATTTTCTATTTCTTGAGCCTTTATTTAGAACTTTGAGTTGCACTATAACTAAAAGAAAACCAAGAGCTTTTGGCACATGTCATGTGGTGAGGTCTTGTCCACCTATACATCAGGCACACCAGTGCTACCCACAGGAGAACTATTTCCTTGATGACCCAATGGACACTTGATGGGACAGAATGATGAAAGTGAGGGTTGGTAACAGTGAAAAGTCATCTTAAACACGAAGAGCTCACCGGTCCACTCTCACCCTCTCAGCCTGAGGTCAGACAGTTGAGGTGCTGGGGTTCTGCACATCTGTGTCCTCTTCTGCAGGACATGAACAAGAATAACACCTAGCTCTTGGGGTTGAAACAAAGATGAAAGGAGATGAAATATGTGAAGCATTTAGCACAGTGCCTAGCGGTACTCGGTATAGACCTGGTGTGTTCATGGCCTCTGTCTGGAAACATGGGGTTCCGACTGCTGTTGAGACAAGTGTGCTGGTGTCTTGGGGAAGGTGCCCTCCTATTTCCTTCAACTGTGGGGAGGCCAGTGCCAACAGCTGGAAGAACAGTCAGGCTCATAAGGATAAAAGAGTGGCTGTTGGCAACAGAAGTGGTGGCAAGTGAAGGCCATGAAGCCACCTGCGGTCCAGATGAGAAATCTTTATTGATCACCGAGGAGAGGACATGACCTCCTGGAGGCTGCCAGGAGAGAGGAGGTCAGAGGCACAGTTCTTCCAAGTGGGCGCTCCGAGCCAAGGCTTTGCACTAGCCTGGCCATTGCGTCCTGCACAGTGACTTCCCCTGACTGGTGGCCTGCATCACACACAGTACAGGACCACAGTCCAAGAAGCAGTCCTCTCTAGGAGCGCCTGCACCTAGAGCATACCTCTGTCTTGTTCCGCGAACCCCCCAGGGAAGGAATTCCACCAAGTTTTCTTGCCATTCATTAGCCACTTTTATGTTTGTCCTTATTAACACCCCATCCTTTCCTCATCTCTGCTCATGGAAAGCTAGCTAAGGTGGTCTGTGTTCCCCTGTCTGTCTCAGAGAACCCATATGGCACAGCTGTCCTCGGTTAATTTTCACTTCCATCTTAACCTTCTGCATTTATATATTTCACTTGGATTCTAACTATTAAAGCAGAAATAATGCTCGTGACCTTCAGCCAGGGCCCCACTGCTTCCCCACCCTCTCCCCTGTGGCTTGGCGAACCACTTAGTCTGGTCCTGTAATATCCTTATTTCTGAACTTCTCTTTCCCAGCAGGGAGATGACTAATGCTAAAAGCTATGTCTGACACCAAGCCTTCCCAGGCAAAGCAAGTGCTCATTGGAGACATACTTCCAAATCGTACTATCTGTGCTCAGAACCCAAGGTTAAATTTAGTTAAATAAAGAAGTCCCAACTTTGCCCCCACCCCCTTTAAATGCCGTCTCTTTTACCTCCCCGGAGATGCAATGAGGAAGATTTCAGTAGTGAGCCCGATAGTGCGTCTCAGTGACATCCAGGCAGAGTTCCACCGAGGGCGGTGGCTCTAGGACCCTGAGGGCAGCATGGCTGTGGAGTGGGCTTGCTACATACTCATCCTTGGCAGAGACCGCCCACATCAGCACTTTTGCTCTGGTGCAAGTGGATTTTAGTGGCAGCCTAGGGAGGGGCTGCAGCTGGTGTGGGGAGGTGATAAGGAGAACTTATGCTGTGTTCCTCAGCTCTTTCAGACCAGAATTTTCCCTGTGCTGCCATTCCCCCCTGACGTCTGGGTGGCTCAGGCTTTGAAGTTGTCACTACTCCCAGGCTGATGGCATGGAGGAGGCCAAGGAACTCCAAGGTACAATCACTTTTGTGGGGACAGTGTTCACAGCCTCCAAACACTCCTGTCCAGCCAAGCCTGGTCACTCCCGTGCCCTCCTGCAAAGTGGGGGGAGGGGGGAGGGGAGGGAACCTGGCTGGACAGATACTTGATCAAGCTACCATGGTAAACACTGGAGGGGGCCAGGTGCGAGGAGAGGATGAAAAAAGAGAGGAGCTGGGTGGTTGGACAAGTTTAGGGTGGAGTTGTTGCGCAAGAACCTGAAGGGTGGGCTGGAAATATGCAGTGTGCTATGGGATTGCCTCTAGGGAGCCCCTCTGGTTTGGGAGAACAGAAGTAAATGGTTGGAGTTACTTTGAAATCCCTTTTGTTGGCAGGACCTTTTTTGTCAGTGGCTCCATGGGGTTCAGGCTGTATAAAGATCACACATGTGAGGGGGCGAGGGCCCCTCATCTCCACAGGGCAGCTAGGGAAGGCCTTCCCCTGGGGCCCTGGAGGACAACAATAGCCCTGCAAGAAAAGTCAAAGGCTGAGGGGACATTGGGGTTTGGGACATATTGAACGGGCAAGGGTGAGAAGTGGCAGTGGTGATAAGGGGTGGCATTGGTTTACGTGCAAATGTGTTTGCTATTCACTTTATATTCTTCCACCAGGACAGCTGGATTCCTGGTGGCCTGGCTACCAGGCGGGGTGGGGACCATCACTGTGTCCTGGCTGGGGTTGTCTCTGGTGTTGGCAGCTGTAAATGGGAGGTGACAGTGCAGAGAATGCTGAAGTTTGACGTCCTTTTTATGACCGGCTTTTGTTTCTGGCATCTTCCTTTTAAGAAAAAGACACTGATTCGTGACTGAATGATTTCTACCCATGGAAAAAACCATCCTTGGAGGCCCTTGGTGGTTTCTATTTAACGAACATGTGGTTTTCCAAGGCTCTTTAGAAAGTGGCTGAGAGAAATCGGAACAAAAAAGTTAACGGTTTTATTTCTGTCTCTTTTTTCCTCAAAGATGAGCTTGAGATTCTTGCTTCAGGCCATATGGAGTGGATATTCCAGAAGGAAATTATATACTTCTCTCTGTTTTTAATCAACTTCTTTTCACATTGTCAAGTGGGCCCTTTGAAGCAGCTTTCTCCTTACCTCAGATCCTGACATGAATAATTGTTTAATTGCCTTTCCATCTACACAAGATAAGAAACCAGGTCTCAAAACTGCATAATTCTCTTAACCAAACAATTGCTCAACCACCCAGAGCAGGTTTCAAAGAAAGGAAAGAATTCCTTACATATGTTAATCATTTTATTCTTTTCACAGTGCTTGGCTCTGTAGCATTTTGTTAAATTGTATAATGCATACGAAGCACTGTATGTAACAAAAAAGTAAGATTTCATAACAATTATTGATTTGATTTTCCATATAAAAAACTGAGGCTCAAGGAGGGGAATTTGCAGCCTCAGATCACAGCAGTTAGGCTCAGCCCAGATGGTGGGGCTCAGACCGTGGTCTGTGTGCGCTCCCCTCTGCACCAGATGTCTCCTGGCACAGAGGCCCAGGACCACCTTGGATCCAGAGGCTTCCCAGTGGAGGTGGCCTGAGGCAAGGCCCACAGGTGTGCTTCCTCATCTAGGTTACCTGGCAATAACCTGGCTGTCTCCCCTCACAGGTTCAGGCTGAGACTTGTCTTTTTATCCCTCAGGCTGGGGCAGAGGTGTTGTTACATTCCTGGATTTTAAAAAAATGTAGGATGCTTTTTCTTTAAAAAAAAAACTGTCCCTGAAATAAGCTCCCAACCCATTTCTTTATTTTTAAAAAGCTGTTAGCAAATCATCATAGTAAGAGGCTGTCTTCAGCTTCAAGGGTGAAGGAGCTGGCTTGTGACAGCACTGCTGGGGGCTGAAGCACCCGCCATTGCCCCACCCTCCGCCAGAATGGAGCCCACCTGGGAGGAAGAAAGATAGAGGGCCCAGGATGTCCCCCCCACACACACACCAGCTAACCCCATGGGTAAGGGGTGCAGGGGAGCCTGAGAGAAGGGGCTGGGTGCAGTAGAGGGGTCTTGAAGAGAGGGCTTCATTTGCATCAAATGACACAATCAGCATGAAAGGGCAACCCAAGGGGTGAGAGAAAGTATAGTAAATCGTTCATCTGAGAAGGGTTTACTATCCAAAAGAGCCAAGCACCTGGTTGAGGCAGGGGTGGAGGCTGCAGAGGTCTACTCCCTTCCCTCTCACAATGGCCTCTGAGGAAGCTGCAAAGACTCCCCCCCTCCCCCCAATGGCTCTGTGGTGTACGGTGTGACAACCACTCACCAACATTTGTACGGTGACGCTGTGTCAGGAGCACAGTGGCCATAATGGGTGACACTCCTCCCAACAGCTTGTTCTCTCCCATAGTGACAGATCGCTTATTTCTCCACCTAGAAACTTGGGACCCCTTTTGGACCTTCCTTCAAATTCCTTTTTTTGGTCCTGAGTGATGGCATCTCAGTCCATTTGATGAGAACTGACATTTTCCAAGGTCAATAATTTATGATGCCATTGCTGACTCTGTTCATTAAGCCCCTCTACTTTCTTCAGTTCTCTCTGATGATTTAGTAAAGTAGGTCTCCATAGCCCAAACTAAACTATTCCAAACACATAATGAATATAATGGCTACACGTTTTACCTGTAGAAGAGATGCTTTACAAGTTCCCTATGGGGACGTCTCCTGGATGTGCGCATGGCCCAGATGCTAGAGGCACATGAGGTGAGGAACCCCATTTGCCTCAAGTCCACGGGTGGGGGATGGTTGAATACAAAGGGTCGTGGGCAATTTTTCTGCATGTGGCTCCAAGTTAGGCCTTCTGTAGGGCCTTTGAAATACCTTCATTGAAGATTTATATCCCTTCCAAACTTTTAAGGATTTGCACTCTCTTTACCTTTGGGTGTCTCACTGTACAAGGCTGGCCTAAGGGTGTCCCAGCCTTCTCCAGATAAATTATTCAGAAGTGAAAGGCATTTAATCTCTTTAAAGAAATGAGAAATCATCATACCTGACTAACTAGTGATTTGAATAAGAGATTTAAACAGAAAAAAAAAAGTCTTTGAAAATATCTTTCATCAGATGGGCAGATCCTTATTTTTTCTAATAATTTTATAAATGTCAAAATTCACTTAAACTATATGACCATTATTTGGAGTAAAATAGTGGGTTATGTCTACATTTCTGTTAATTATATTAATTTTCAGAACTCTATTTATATATCTATAACATCATAGAATGTCTATTCATGTCTTTAATTTTTCCAAGTATTGAGTGCTTGTTGGTTTGTTTGTCTTTGTTTTTTTTTTAAGTTCACCTGGAACCATAAACTTGATTTCAGGCAGCATTATTGGTTGACTCTTGCTTCAAAGTCAGCTAATTGGGCAGTTTGTTGGTTGCATATTCATCATCCATTTCCCTCCATCCTCACTGCCATCCACACTTCCTACTGCGGGTTCTGTAAAGTTCCAGGAAAGCTTTTTCAGGGGTTGAGCATGTGGTCTAGGTTAAGCCAATTACAGCCTTCCATTCTTCTGGACACAGACATTGGCTGCAGAGTGGACATGTGACCTAAGGAGGCTCAATCAGAATGAATCTTCAGATTTTTCTTGGAAAGACTGGGCAGGGATGCTCTCTCTTCTCTCCTGGATTAGAATGATGAAATACCAGCCCTGCGAGCTGCTGGAAGCCATAGGGGACCTTAAGGGTAGTAAACCTTAGAGGATGACACCAAAAAAGGGCAATGCAAAGAGCTGGAAAGAAATTGAATTCTTGGTGACATTGTTGAGTGACTGGATCAAGCCGTATGTGAAGCCAGTATAACCACCAGCATTTTCAGTTACTTGAGCTAACAAATTCCCTTAGTAGTTTAAAACTTTTTTTGTGTGTATAAAGCTTTCTCTTACTTGTATTCTAACTGATAGAGTTTATCAATAATAGATTAGTATACAGTTTACAAATCACATTATCCTACTTCATTTTTATATTTCTGCAGGGATATTCAGAAAGTTTGTTATTTCTCTTATTTTACTAGAAAAAAGGGGCCGTGAAGGCATTGCCTTAAGTGAAATAAACATGGTGGTGAAATAGAAAAATTATGTGAGCACAGAAAGTATGGACATATTTTGAAATTGTATCTGCGTCTTTTACAGTATTTGTTAACTGGATATAATAAATATTTGTTGAATGAATAACTAAATTGAAGAACAGAGGTGGGATGCTAAAAAGAGTGATAAGCTTTGTTTTAATTATTCATTCCTTTTTTCCAAAGGATTATTTACCAAATGCCTACTATGTACCAGGCATGAGACTAAGTGTTTAAATTAAGTACTCTTTGTGGCAGCACTTCCAGTGCAAAAAGGAAAAAGAAAAGAAAGGAAAAGAAAATTGTTAACATCTTTAACATTCTTACGCTCTTTGAAAAGTTTCAAACTGTTTAGAGATTCTTTATATTTAAAGTCCTACAATAATTTGCTAGAGAGGATCCTGTGTTTTAAAATCTTTTTTTCTCCATTGCTTGTATCCATGGTTTCCACCTCATTTACCTTGAGGACAGACACTTCTTGGGTAGAAAGACATGTGAGTGGTTGTATGTTGTAAGTGCTCAATGCAGTCTGAATAACTCACAAATATTGAATTGTAGCCTTCTCAATGTCTGAGTCTCTCTGACATACGTTAGGATGTCCGCTCATTCAAATCTCTGAGGGACCAGTAAAATTGAATTTTACTGTTTTGGTATGTATCATAGTAGATCAAACGTCTATACTTAATGGGAGAAGGCATTATATAGACTTGAGACTTTGTCAGATTTTAGAGTAACAAGAAAGAGAAGGGACGATCACCCTCTCGGATGAGGCACTGACCAGATGTCAGGAAGACAGCCTGAACTGTGATTCCCCTGGCTTGAGATGGACAACTGAAAGAAGACACAACTAAAACTAGAAAAAGCAAATGAAGAATACTTTCCAGAGAATCAAAATTTGTTACTCAAAGTCCAATCATGGCTGAATAATGGGGTGGAACACTTCCATCTTGTATCTCTTATTACTAAATGTACTAACATTCATCTGAGAGAAGGCGGGAGGCCTCAGTTCGCATACTTGAACACCATCCAAAATGTCTCATGTTTCTGATAATGTCCTGCAGGACCTTGAGCAAACTAACAATAAAAAAAGATGGATGACTGGATTATTCAGCAGGTTCTGGGTATCCTTTCAGAAACTTTAAAAATAGTTTCTGAAATGTTCATTCATAGACTTGGTGCTGTTTCCCCTTGGGTAATGTCTGTCATCTTTGAAGCTGAGTCTGCGTCAGCTGTCAGTGGCTTGATTTATTCATGGTAAGGACCATAGGCAGAAGCAGAATGGTGGGTGGCTGTTGGCTCTCACTGTCGCCCCCTCTGGCCACTCCAGAGCACAGTGAATCCTGGTGCTAGGCTCGCTGTGGTGTGGGCCGTGTGGATATGAGTGTGGGTGGCCCTGAGCAGAGTCCAGAGCACTGAGGTAAGTGGTGGGGGCCTGGCCGTCCACTACTGACTTATTCCTTATCTGCTATTCTGACTAGAGAAAAATAATGAGCTGTAAGTTTGCCAAGAGTGTGCAATGGAAGTGGGAGTTTTGCATAATACTGATAAAGTTGGTGTGAGATTTATGGACAATCAAAGCAACTTGGGAAATGCAACGTTTTGGTTTTTTTATGGAAAAACCTGAATTAACCACTTCTTTTTTGTTTTTAAGTTATAGTACTTGATTTTGCCTTTTTTGACAATCTATAAAGTCAATGCTGTGCTATTCTTTTATTTATTTATTTATGTATTTATTATTAGTTTCAGGGGGAAGGGATTAGACAGCATAAATTGGTAACGTCAATGCTGTGATATTCTAAAGGTATAAAATATTATTGACATGTTTAAACCATCTCTTTATCCCAAACAATCCCCAATGTCTCCCCATACCTGGTTTAGGACATTTTAGTGAGTTTATCAGTTGTTAACAATCGGGGGAACTTACAAGTGAAGATTCTCACTTCTCCTCAAGGTTTTTGAAGAAATTCTCAAAACTTGCACTTCTAGGTCTCACTCCTTTGACATCCTGAAGTTGAATTTGGTAAAAATTGTGCACACTACTATATCACTTAATACTTTTCAAAACATGTTTATTCACAATATAACAAGCAGAGGAGATTTCATTATTTTTACTTTATGGAGGACATTGATGTTCAAAGAAGTTGACCAACTTAGATCAGTTTGTAGAATTACTGAGTCTAGAAGAGAAAACTTATATTCTTAGGTTCAAGTTGTAAAATAACTTTGAAA